AACACATTGATAAAGGTTGGCGTTCAGCCAACTGAAATATTGGTAAAATAAATGATATTTTGATCCGATATATGCCTTTTTAATTAAATATTTATATATGTATAATCAAGAAGCATTTTTTTCTATAATGACCGTACTTTCCGGAATTACTACAGATTTTGTGTTGTTTTTGATAATGATTAATGTTGACATTTGGTATCATATTTAGCGAATTCTCGGATACAATCCTTGAGAAATGGTATTGTACTAAATGTTAGTTGTGACTTGTGCACTCGAAAGAGAATATATTAACAAATATGATAATAAATCGAAAACTATAAACAGAAAGACCTCGCTTTAGCTAACTCCAATGAGACTAAACTTTTGGTTCACTATAACCATGGTTTACTATACGATATTATTAATATTAGAGATTATTTTAGATTTATATGGGAGGTTCGTTATATCTCCGCTTCGTTTAGCGAGGTTCTACTGTACTTATTAAAATAAATGTCACATCTCTCGTCAAAATAGACGTTAAAGCTAGACGCCATCTATTGACCGTCACCGCAAATTAGCGGCCTCGGGTCTGTGACAAAGCCACAACACCAGCTTTGGTAAACTGAGAAGCGTCCACCTGAAGACCATGGCTTTGGGCTGATGGGCTATCATAAGTCTAATGCGGACTTTATTCCATGAAATCCACAAGGTATCCAATGGAATCTTCACAATCTGTCAAAGATCTATTTAGCTGGCAAAGTGGCTAGGCCAAATTTTACTGTAGGTCAAATAATTTTGAATAGTTGTAAATTTTGCCGGTCGAATATTTATTTCCAAAGGAAAGTCCACGTCTCCCGTTAAAATCGACACTTAAACTCTGCACCATCAATTGAAGGTCTCTAAAATCAGATTCGGGTCAGTGACAAAGCTACTACACCAGCTTTCGCAAATTCAGAACACCCACTATGGTTACAGGCGAATGACCATCGTCAGTTCAGGACGAGCTTTGATTTCATGGGTTCCACAAGAGATCCACGAGGTCTTCAGATCTTCCAAATTTACGATGTCTAACGTTGAAGTTGATCTTCGAATAGAAATGCAAGTTTAAATCAGCGTTATTTATTAAAATATAGAATAACTTTTGATATATCGCTCTTCAGAGGATAAAATCCAACGACATACGCGTTTCAGACTGTTGTCTCTCATCAGCATGGTGCAAGCTGTATACCTCAAGGACCAAAAAGGCTGATGAGCTGAAGGCCTTCTGATAAATCAAGGAACAGGCATGTATTAAGACTAAAGTAAGTGAAAATGTTAAACTACATAAAACCTATAAATAGAATAGGTATAGGAGTCAGGTGGTAAAATATTTTTAAATGGAATCTCCTATCTTAATTGATTAGTTTTTCGCTTTCATCAAAGAGATAAACGATTTTTTTTCGATGGGAAAGATCGGAAGGGTTTAAAAATATTAAAATGGCATCTCTAATCATATAACTAAACCTTACAAAACAAAAATACAGGAATGCATCGTTTAATCTTTTGCCGCATGTTCAAAGAACGTGCAAAAAAATCTTTAGGTATTCTTTTGTAATAATAAAAGCCAAATTCTCCATTACACAGGAACCTAACTCTCTTTCATTATATTGAAATACCAATTCAAAAAAGAACAATAAAACTATTACAATCCCCATTTACACAATTCACGCAACAGATACCGAAGAATGCTTTGATTAAAATCCAATAATTAATTGTTCTGACAAAAATTAATATGCTAATTAATGATCTACCAACTCGTGCAGTGCTAATGTTCCCTCCAGAAATTGTTCTTGTCTGATCTAAGGGGAAAAGAAGGGGCGTGATTCTGCATTCACAGAGTCGAGATTATTTGGCCTGATAAATGGTTTTGACTAATGACCGAAAGAAAAAAAATTCAACAGGGTATCCACGAAGAGAATAACCTTTCTAAGGAGAAAGTTTAAAAAAGGAAAAAATGCCAGAATCCAATCCATCGTTTTCATCCAATTTGTATGAGGTCATCAAAAGAAATTAAGAATAGGATGGGGATGTTTCTCTTGAGCCGACAAAATTTACTGGCGTGTCGTGACACTGCTACTAGATTTTATCTCCACTGGGGAACAAAGCGACATCACAGAGTTAAAAAAAGAATTTATGAATCAATGAAGAAGATATGAAATGTCAGACGTTGAGGAATGTACAAAATATAAAAAAGATTAGATAGACATGGAGAATTGGACTTGGTCATATTACTGTCTCTCTTGGCCATATGTAAATCATTCTTTAAAGGAAGGAAGATCCTTGAAAGGACATTCCAGTTTACGGTCATAGACATTTCTATCTACAGTGTGTTCTAAGTTAGGTGTAGAGCTATAATCTGTTGCTTTTTGACATCAGGAATCTACGATTCTCTCTACTTTTGTGAAACATTGATTCAATAACCTTCTCTTCTTTCACGAGTTCAATCCAAATGGAATCCAATTAACCAAATGAGATCTGGCTTCTGTATATACAAAAGTCAATTGCGTGAATTGTGTAAATGGAGATTATAATAAGGAAATAGTTTTATTGTTCTTTTTTGAATTGGTATTTCAATATAATGAAAGAGAGGGTTAGGTTCCTGTGTAATGGAGAATTTGGCTTTTTTTATTACAAAAATTGACTAGAGATTTTTTTTCTCGTTCTTTGAGCATGCGGCAAAAGATTAAGCTATGCGGAAATATAGTAAAACTCACAAGTAAAACTGACACCAAATTGTTCCTGCGGAGAAACTGAACAAACTGCTCTTCACCTTATCTATGACTCTCCGAACTTTGCAGAAGTGAGACATCGATTGTTCACTGATATAAATGATTTAACTTTCTTACATCAGCCACTTTGTCTATATAAATTTATGAACTCTGTTGATTAATACATCTAAATTTGTAAATATTTATTCTAAGTTTGAACTTGTTTGTTGTTGTTGTTGTCTTGTTTGTTTGTTTGTTTCCTCTGTAATAGGCACCAATATTTTTAAATCGCGCCTGTTTTTGTTTATTTTATTAATAAATAAATATTATATAATTGCCTTATTCTGTCTGTGTCAAGTTCACTGTGTGAAGTTCACGGATAGATTTTGGTCATCAACGCGCGCATCATCATTATGATCATTATCATTATCTAATGATAATTATTATTATATTCTATTATTATTATCTATCTACTTATATAATTGCCTTATTCTGTCTGTGTGAAGTTCACTGTGTGAAGTTCACGGATAGATTTTGGTCAGAATGGATAAAATAAAGTGTCAAGGGATGGGAATAGGGCTTCCAATCCCGGTACATATTTTCAATCCCGGGATTCGGGATTGCTTTTCCCTCAATCCCGGGATCCCGGGATATCCCGGGATTGAAAAACATTTTAGTCTTTCTACGCCAAGAGGTATATCGTTTCGTTCGTTATATTTTTAATTTTTTCTTTTATATAATGCCAATGACGTGGCACTTACTTCGATGAAAACAACCTGAAAGCCATATATTTTGCACCTGCTTATAAACTAAATCATTGCTTTTGGGTTACAGTTTGAAATTATCTGTCAATTGCTGTACACACATCTGGAAAAAAAATTACTGTTCTTGGAACTCTTAGACCACATCTCTTAATGCAGTGTTGGGCAGTAATCCATTCAGAGTAATACATTACCTTGTAATTACGATTACTTTGCAATGCATTGCAAAAAAATAATTGCATTATAATGTAAACATAATTACTCATAATTCTATATATAATGAAAGCAATTGTGATTAAAATTACTTGTAATTGTAATTATAGCAAATGTAATCATGATTATTTGCAATTGTGATTATAGAAAATGTAATCATTATTGCATTTTGCCCAACTATGTATTAATGTTTAGAAAGAAGACAGCACCGTTTTAAAAACCATGAATTACTTTATTTTAAGGATAAAAAAATCAATTTCGAGAAAGATTTGAGCGTAGGAAAGATAATTTGTCAAGAGTGTCATCATGCAAACTAGAACGTATCTTATTGCATAGGTATCCAGAGGCGGAGAAGACTCTTTCCGATTCCACAGACGTTGGAGGAATTGTCAGAAAGTATTGATACACAATCTCTAAATGGGGTCCTCGTTTGCCTGACTGAGCAGCAATATTAAGTTCGTGGTTAATCATAGTTGAGTAGGATGTGGAGTCTGGTGTAGGAATTTCAATTGAAGTTGAAGAGGCAGCCTCAATAGCTTCTTGCAATCGGCGCTCAATTGTAAGATGGTCATTCGATTGTGATGGCTCATGGCGTTCTTGTAAACTCCGAGGAAGTTGCGAATTATCAGCCTGAATATTTTTTCTTACTTCGGCCATTTGTTCCTGTAACGGTTTAAAACGCAAAAGAAATTTCACGCTAAAGTCTTTGACCTTCTTCTTTTTTTTCTAACTGTGCTTGCGGATTGTGCAGATATTGGAGGACTAAAGATGTTTTATTGCATCGATCTTCTAAAATTATCTTTTTAAAAGATTTTTGCAGATCTTTGCTGAGAGAATGAGATTGTGCTTGAAGCTCCTCTAGAAGAAACTTTACTGCTGCTTCTGCAGTCAAAAGCGTAGCGTCGCGTCTACAGATAACCGCCACAGCTGCCCGAAATGGTTTCAGTGCGGAAATTACTTGCGTCACGATATCAAAATCTTCATCAGTTAGACGGACATTTGCATTCACATCTATTAGCGCCTTCTGAATCGCTGACTTCACACTGAGAAGTCTCTCCAACATGTTCAATAAACTATCCCAGCGCGTTCTGCAGTCGAGAATGAGACACATACTGGTGGAAATGCGATTATCTTGCCGCATGTAGTTCAGTAAGATCTCGTTCTTCAGCGGCGATCTTTGAACAATTTCACAACCACACGAGTAATACACCAGTAATCCCGGGATTCTTCGAGCAGAATCCCGGGATTTCGGGATCATTTTTTGGCTCCGGGATCCCGGGAAACGGGATCCCGGGATTGGAGGCCCTAGATGGGAATCGAACCCACGACCTTCCGCTTACCGGGCAGATGCCATGACCACTAGGCCACATGACCACAATTTATAATTGTAACAAATAGTATTTGAATCAAAACATTCAATCGGGTAAAACACGGGCGTTGCCCGGGTCATTCGGCTAGTAAATAAATAAGTAAAACTGATGAGATATCATAAAACTTAAACAATGATAACATAAACCAAATAAAAACATTATTTAAGTGAAATTATACTATGTTCAATGGATAAATTAAGAAAAATGGCATCTCCTGATCGTCAAACTGAAAGTTGCACATTTACTTAATTAATTTACTGATCTCAGTACAATTTCACTTTTGTACTATTTTTTCATATAGTTTTGTGTTCTAGATCACTTTTGGCCTTAAATACCTATTCCTTGAATTTTCAGGAAACCTCTAAGAACAGCTTTTAGGTCGTTGTAGTACAGCTTGCACCATGCTGACTAGAGCCATACAACCTGAAACGAATGAACAAAAGAGTAAATAAGCAATACTTTCTACATTATAAAAATAAGAGAGAATATAAAGATAGGATAAAACCTTTTTTTTATTGACATATTACCTTTATTAAACAAGAATACTACTTACTATATTTCCGCATCGCTTAATATTTTGCCCCATGCTCAAAGAACGTGCAAAAAAACCTCTAGTCATTCTTTTGTAATAATAAAAGCCAAATTCTCCATTACACAGGAACCCTCTTTCTTTAATTATATTGAAATACCAATTCAAAAAAAGAACAATAAAACTATTTCCTTATTACAATCTCCATTTACACAATTCACGAAATTGACTTTTGCATATACAGAAGCCAGATCTCATTTGTTTTATTGGATTCCATTTGGATTGAACTCGTGAAAGACGTCTTTTATTATTATTATTATTATTATTAATTTTATAAAGTAGCTTTCGGACAAGCCCTTCCTCAGAAAACTAAAACATAAAAAAAGGTAATGAAGAGATATTATATATATTTTTAAAGATATATCTATGCAAATATAGAGAGGACATAAAAAAACAATGGTTGCCTGTAAAGTCGGTTTTACGGGCGAAGATTTTACGTGACAACGGTAGAATATTTATTGATATGAATATAATTAAATTGCACAATAGGAACAAGGAATTGAATGAAAATAAGAATTGCACAAATTTTAACTATAGAAATATATTTTGTTTACTAAAACATTGTACATGTAAACTTAAACTTAACTAATTCCTATTTGAGTGATTTTGTTGAGGATAGGACGATGATAGGAGAAATATGAAATGAAAGGAAGTGTTTCTGCTGTAATGTGTCTTGCGAAAGTCAAGTCGATAGTTGTTCCTTTTAACGTAGTTGACTTAGAAACGTTTGATACGCAATCAAGATTATACGTATTTTTCATGAAATTAAGAAACGAGTTGTCAGGCTTTACGTTTTTGTTAAAATCACCACACAGAAGAATCGGTATACTATAATCAATTTGCACGAACGGTGGCACGTACTGGCTGTTGTGAATGTACGGACCGAGTCCTTACCATAGTAACATTCCAATATCCTGCATACTAGCTCCTGGATGAATATATACAGCACCGAGTATAAACTTGAAGCTAGTATTAGCGGCGAAGCAAGTAACTTCAGTCATGCACATGTCACCCTTGGTTTTAATGACACGAGTTACGTCTGTAATCGCAACTTGGAACACTTCCGCCGTAGATGTCGATGATAATTTACGATAGATCGCCACTCCACCAGCCGCGTTGGTATCTGAGTTAGGTCGATTATTTTCCCTGGATACGCACTCATAACCCTTGATTGGAGTTGGTTCACAAGTGTCGCGCATCCACGTTTCAGTCAATACTAAATAGTCTGATCGTGGTATCACTGTATCTGTTTCAATGTCCGCGGCATGGGCACTTAAACTTTGACAGTTGATGTTCGTTACAATAAGTTGTCCAGCGTCGGTTGCGTCGTCACAGAATTTTACGGCTTGTTTGGTAATTGTGTCTAGAGTGTGTCCACGAAGTCGTAAGTATTCATTGCGAATATCTCGAGTAGTCTGTGAGTCGTTTCCATCTCGGCCATGTTTGAAAACCAATGGAGAGTCCTTTTCTGTTATGATGTACAATCCGTCGATACTTGTGACGCGGCTCATGGCTACATATACCAATTGCTGTGGTTGTTTTGAGGAGTACTTGTAAACAATTGTAGTAAACGTCCCACCCTGGGCCTTGTGGATCGTAATTGCACAAGCAGGCACGCAAGGAAATTGTTTTCGCTTGCACTTCACTGTTTTTGTCAACGAAATGTTTACCACTTTCTTGTGCACTGGCACCCAATCGACGGATAAGGTGTTTGGTTTGCTGTGAACATGTGGTCGACATTTGATTTTTGCTTTGGTACCCGTATTTTTGTCTTCAAACTGGAACCATAGAGTGGCGATTTCATCTTCAGCTGGCGGCAAACTTGTGCTGGTCGATGGTCCTCCTGGAGCAGAACGGTCATCTGCATTGGCTGGCTGACGTTCGATGTATAGCAAAACTCCAATAGCCCCATTTACCAATCCATCGGCGACGTCTATCGGCGACGTCGGAAAGTAGATTGAAATCTCCGTATTGACGATGACCATTTGGTATACCAGGTGGATTGTTCCAGTTGTATTGCTGTTTGGCTTGAAGAAGTAGTCGGTTGTACATCAGTCCGAGAAGATGCTGCTCTACGTTGTCGGAATGCACGTTGCCGTTGAGCGTTAGTTAGGGGAACGCTCGTTCTCTCCGCCACGACAGGAACGCTTGTTCTCTCCACCACAGAACAAGACGTTGAAGCAGGTGACTCTGACGTACCGCTGGTGAGGGCTATGTTAGCAGATTTACGTAGCTTGAACCTGCGTTGCCTCTCCGCAGCCGCTTTTGCAAAGGCTCTTACTTGTTCAGGAGTTCTGGTCAATGCTTTTCGTAGTCTGTACTCACGTTGTCGCTGAGCATTCGTTCTGGCGGTAGAGGTGGTGTGTGGAACAACGAAAGGTACTGCAGACGTTGACGGCACGATATCCTCCGTCTCCATTGAAGTACTGGAAGTTGAAGGCACCGTTTCCATTGTTTTGAGAGTGGTGATTCCTGTTGAACTTTTGAAATTGAATGGATGAATTTTTAATTTTAAAGAATCAATTTGAAAATCAAAACACTTATTCAGATCGAAGGTTCAAATTTTTGCTAAATAAATTTGAAATTAAATAAAATTTGTAATTGTAAATGATGAAGTTGAAAATTAAAACATTTACTTATATTAGATGTTAAAATTCTTGCTCAACACAGTTTAAATAAAGTTTTCTTATATCTGCCACTTTTTCTTAATATTTGTAATTTTAAATAATCAATTCGAAAATCAAAACATTTATTCAGATCGAAGGTTCAAATTTTTGCTAAATAAATTTGAAACTATTTAAAATTTGTAAAATAATAATTAATTAATTAATTAATTTTAAACTAATAATTTACTTAACACTATCAACATTTATCAATAGTATGACATAACCTATAAACTCAGTTTCTCAACTTTTGTGTCAATCTAACAATTAATCAATCAATCATAGTTTACGATAATGAAATATCAGTGTACATTTATTTACCTTTATTGTTGTAGTTGTTGTAAATGACGAATCTAAGCACTCCACATTTTCACTACAGACACAGCTGACGATACTTTAACCACACGTGTGAACTTGTATTTTGACGCTTTCTTGTTTTTCCAACGCCAAGAACGTTCGAGAAAGACAAAGACAGAGGCAAGCATGCGCCGATTCAATGCGCCTAATTCTCTAGCGCTGCGCGCGCAGCTGCGCGCGCAGCACTCTCGTTCGGTGACTCATCGTAACGTTACCGGGCGTTACACTTTTTCATAAGTGACTCCCAGCCGCAACCTAATTTAAGACGTTGTCACGTCAAAATTTATATAATTGAAGATTTTTGAAGAACAAACTGTGAAATGTTTGATGAACTTAGTGAATAGAGAAATGGACAGATTATTGTTATAGATATTGTCACGTGTAAAATTAGGGAAGACCAACTTCAGGATGAAACAACAATTTATTTCAGGCAAGAACAAACTATGAGTGATAAACAAAAGATAAGCAAAGAGGGAAGTGTACAGAGTAGCAAAATATAAACATAAAAATAATACTCTGCTAATAAAATAATAAATACTTTGTTACATAGCTCCTTCCTTTGGGAGCTGTAACCCACAGCTAGCAATTATTGTAGTTACTGACATGGATCTGACGTGCTTCTGCCATGGATTCCATCGAAGTCTTGGTACTTTGTCCCTAGTACCTTTGCGCTCTTTTTCTGCGGCGTGAAGAGCGGCTTTGTCGTCGTATCGTCTATTGGGACATCGTTATCATGGAAGGAAGTCTTGGCTTTGACACGGCGGTGGAATCCTGGAGCCAGTCTCCGAAAATGTAGATCACAGCACCCATGGCCTCTAGGTCTTTTCGGCGATCTTCAGTTTGTCTTCCCTAATTTACCCAGCATCTCCACCAAAATGCCACGTGTAAAATTAGGGAAGACCAACTTCGGGATGAGACAACAATTTATTTCTGGCAAGAACAAACTATGAGTGATAAACAAAAGATAAGCAAAGAGGGAAGTGTACGGAGTATAGCAAAATATAAACATAAAAAATAATACTCTGCTAATAAAATACTTTGTTACAATATGAATACCAATATACATACACATATGATGCATTAGCACGCCATCTGTTATGAAAATTCGAAACTATTGTAAACGCGATTTCTTAAAAAAAAAAAATTTAACAATTTCTACTTCCCTTACTGCAATAGAAAACAGATTGGCCAGGCCCTCCCATTAATTTTTCCATTGCAGTAAGGTCAGTAGAAATTGTTTAATTTTTAAAAAAGAATCATACGCGTCTATAATAGTTTCGAATTTTCATACACACATACATATATTCACCACTGATGAACTAAGCCCTCCCAATATATTTTTTCATCGCAGTAAGGGCAGTAGAAGTTTGATTTATTTGTGAAAAGAAACATTCG